ACACACACACACACACACACACATACACACACACTCAAACACACAAACACGCACACAACTTGTACCCACCCCCCCCCACCCACCAGGACAGTGCGACTGACTGATGTTGTCTTTAGGCCATTCCCAAATGTGTGGGGGGGGGGCGGGGGGGGGGGGATATTATTAACATGTTCTTATGCACTGTACCTAATAAAATTGCAAATGGGCTGGTTTATCGATGTAATGCTCATTCTGTGCCGGAACAACATAGAGGGAACTGCTGCTTTTTCTTTCCCCATCCTTACTATCTTCATTTGTCCTCTACTTCTGTTGTATATTTCGTTACTCTCCTGTGAAGTGACTGATATTTCCGTGGGTTCCTTGATAGTCAAAGCAGACTTTGTGCTGTTGAGGCTAGAGAAGTGAGCAGAGTAAGCCCGATTCCCCGTTTGGACTTCTCTGTTGACATCCACCTCTTGGAACTCATATATGACTTCAGTTGCGAGCGCCGTAAAAACTTACTGTTAATAACTGTTAATTTTTTAAAATGAAAATAAATAGATCTACACCTTGCGTTTAGACACATTTTTGTAGGCAACATATCTTTCACCAGTAGAATGCAAGTTCAATTTGGACATTTAGGCCGGAATAAAAGCGATAGATAGCTGATATAACAAAGTCAAATGTTCTAAGTGTGTGCATGTCAGTCTAGACCACAATCACATTGTCATTGTTTAGCTCCTTTTTTTCTATTCGTCAAAATAATATTATTCTTACTAAAGTAGGCAATTCACCTTTCGTCATCCTTTGAGGATCAAAAGAAACTCAGATTTGGATTTTCGTTTCTGGAATCAGTGCCGTTATAGCAAAACACCATTGACACTTCGTGCTAACTGGAGCCATGCTTGTCAGTGATCAATGAAAATGCCTTGAACAATGGACGCAGTTTGTTTTGTTAACCGCCCTTTTCCCCACTATCAGCTGGTGACCCCGATACGCACATCCAGGCGAAGTGACAGCTCTCTTGTACTTGTATTGATCTAACTCAGTCTCATGTTCTTATGCACAGTAGAACAGTAAATGGGCTGATTTATCAACGTCATGCTCATACTGTACCGAAATATCATAGGGGGAACTGCTGCTTTTTCCTTCCTCATCCCTACTATCGTCATTTTACCTCTACTTCTTTTGTATGTTTGTCACTCTCGAGTGAAATGGTATTTCCGGGGTGCCTTGATAGTCGAATCAGACTTTGTGCTGTTGAGGCTAGGAAGGTGAGCAGAGTAAGCCTGATTCCCAGTTTGGACTTCTCTGTTGACATCCACCCCTTGGCGCTCATATGACCTTATGCAGTTGCGAGCGCCGTAAAAACCTAACTAAAACATTTAATTTTTTTAAACATCTACCGCCCTTATCTCTCAGTCTCATCTTTCTTTTCTTGGTATGTTACTCTCTAGAAAGATCTCTAACCTTCGGCACTCATTGAAACTCAGGTGGAAGAACTGAACTGGTACTACGTCCAGTGTATGCACCAAGAGCTGGACCGTCGCTTTAGGCCGCAGGGGGAGTCCAGTGTTCTCAAGGCCCGGGTCACCTTCACCGCTATGGTCTGCCTACTGGTGGAGATGCGCAGAGTGTCCGTGTCGTTCCAAGTGATGACGGGACAGGACCAGTATTTCAAGAACCTTGTGAATGGGTCGGGTTAAGAACAATATAATAATACATCATCATCATCATCATAATAATAATAATAATAATAATAATAATAATAATAATAACAACAACAACAAAACAACAACAACAACAAAACAACAACAACAACAAAACAACAACAACAACAATGAGGTTCACAGCAGAGCATAAATAAAACCCTGACGCCATGATTATTTGCCAACCGCAAGTTGTTCATTGTGCAGCGAGGAATCCCAAGATTTGGAGCACTGGCTGCAGAGATGCCCCGCCACGGAGGCCCGGCGGTGGCATCTCTTCTGGGGGAGGGAGGGGATTCAGGGAGGTTGGACCGCCTCCCGGCCCTGGCGAAGAGCACGCTCTTAGGGGCTCCAAACATTTCGAACGGATAGGCTACCACACACACACACAACAACAACAACAACAACAACAATAATAATAATAATAATAATAATAATAATAATAATAATAATAATAATAAATGACATTTATTTAGCGTTCATCCCCTATCTAAGTACACAGGCTCTGTTCGAGTGCTTTACAATACAATACCGTACAACAGTAACATAAAACATTGTGTTCTGATCAAAAGAAAATCACTCCAAATATTCATCTTATTTATTAAAAAAACAGAAATGAGTTCAGCTGACATTTGAATGAATCGAAAGATTAATTTGATCTCTCTTAAAGTACTTGGTAAAGTGTTCCAGATCTTGGGGCCTTGGTATTCAAATGCCCGTTCACCCATTGTTTTAAGCTTCACATATGGTAAAAGAAATGTTTTGTTGTCAGCTGATGACCTGAAACTGCGAGTTGGGATGTGCAGTCTCAACAGATTTGATAAATAATGTGATGGCGCATTATCATTCCAACATGTGTGACATAGGGTGGCCAGCTTGTACACATTCCTTTTCTCAACAGGAAGCCAATGCAATGTCCGTAAAAGAGCGGAAGCAGAGTCTCGCTTTCTTTTAAATAAAACTAAACGTGCAGCGTTATGGTCATAGGGGTGGCGGGCAGTTCGGAAGTGGACAGTTGGAGGGGCGGGAACCCCAGAAGAAAGTCACGTGGTATTTACCTGAGGGGCGGTCGGGGAATTTCCCGTTTTAGTTTTAGTAAGCGTTTCACGGCACTTACAAACACAATTTGGTCATAAGAGCCGAAGATTAAAGCCATAATTAGGACATAAAAGTACCGAAGATTAAAGATGGTAGCCTACAAGAGAGTAACGAACTCCAAAAAAAGGAGGAGGAGAGATTATAAGGACTATAGATGTTTGATAAGAAAGAAGGAGCAAACCACATCAGAGCACCCACCAACCACACCCCGGAATTTCCCGTAGAGAAAAGAAGACGCATTCACGGTCAACATCCCCTCAAGACGGAAATCTTGTCCGACTTGTGTTAGTTTTGGGGAAGGGAATCAGCTCACCTTCTAAAATATCATAATTGTGCCATTGAAGACGCATGCAATTTGTAACCATTTCAGTACCCCAGAATTACAAAGTTCTGACGTTTTTGGCCGTTTTGAGTTACTAAGACCGAGAGGTCAGAAACCAATAAATGTTCTATCTGCTCTATGAAAATCGTAAGATTATTCGAAGCCGTTATCAAGATATTCAAAGAATTGCATTCGAGAAAGTTGTGAAACTCAAAATTTTTAACGGCAAATTTCTCACAACTAGGTACTGAGCTGATAGAACTGTGTAATTCTAGGGAAGTGACATGACAATAATACAGTTATTTTATGCACTGTAGGTCTATGCTTCCCAGGAATTTGAGATTGTTTCAGAATGCTATCAGGTCTGCTGGGGCAATGGTATAGATTGTAAATCGCTTATAATTTGCTGCTGAGCGGGAATTTGCGCTAGATCTATACAAAATAATGCTTTTATTATTATTATTATTATTATTATTAGAACTATCATTTATCTTGAGATGATTGTCGGTTAATCATTACATTTTTTTAAAAATTACAACGCAAGTGATTGGAAGGCGCCACTGATCAGTGATAGGTCCCAATTCTTTACTTTCCCTCCATTGTTTCTGTCTGTCTTACTCTTTCCAAACACTAAATCACCATTATTGTGTCGATAGGCTTCTCTTTCCTCAAACAAACAACTATAATTACATTTGCCGTTATATTATGTGCGTGTGTCAATTTTAACACACCCGTGTGGTTCCCGGGGCCCTGTCCAAGAGACAGGGGAGCAAAAAATAGGACCACAGTATCCCTACCGCGCATGTCGTAGAAGGCGACTAAGGTCGGTTGGGCAAAGGGTTCGCAACCCTTTCCCGTAAAAGTAAAACAACCCCCCCCCCCAAAAAAAAAAAAAACCAGCTACAAAAACATGAACAGTAAAAACAACACGACGACCAGTTCTGGGAGATGGAGGACATTCATCACCGAAGACAGGAGGGAAAATGGAGTGTAGAATGACGCAGGGTGGTGAAAGCCGAAAGGAAAAGGTGGGGACATCATGGAAACAGCTGGAAAAGGGTGCACAGGACGACAGGCTTCGCTGGAGAAATGTTGTTGATGGCCGATGCTCCACTGGGACTTAAAAAGGGCAAGAGAGAGAGAAAAAGAGAGAGAGAGAGAGAGAGAGAGAGAGAGAGAGAGAGAGAGAGTCAATTTTACACGAACGGGAAACATATTTAATAATATTAGGTTTGACATGGATAGACATTAAAATGTGGACAGGCCTGGGTATAGCAGAATGTGTAACGACAGCTCACGACCGTGAAGGATGGAGAATGGAGGGTCATTACACATCAACCGAGATGACATCTCCAAGTATTCTAGGTATCATGTTAGAAATATGCATTCCGTAATGAATATATATCTACACCTCCGGGTATTCTAGATATCATGTTAGAAATATGCATTCCGTAATGAATATATATATATCTACACCTCCAGGTATTCTAGGTATCATGTTGGAAATATGCATTCCGTAATGTATCTACACCTCCAGGTATTCTTGGTATCAAGTTAAAAAGTATGTATTCTGTAATGCATCTAGTGTATATTATGAATGTGAATCTAGTAAAATATTCCTTAACATGCTCAATAAAAAGAAAGAAACATTTTGTGACTTGGTATTTCTTTCTTTTCTTTCTTGAGTAATTATTTTTATTAGGGTGATAAAAGCTCTATTATTATAGATATCTGTTGTTGTTTTGTTGTGTTTAGTTCACTTTCAGTAACAGTTTTACGGCACGTGCAACACAATAAGTTCATATAAGTGCTGAAGAATAGGGGTATTACAAGAGAGTAACAAACACACAAAAAGGAGGAGGAAAGTTAAGGACAATACATGTCTGATATGAAAGAAAGAGCCACCACCAACCACCCACATTTAGTTGGGTTTCTTTCGACAGGATGGATACCCAGTGATATAACATTCCAGCAGAAAGACAAAGATATATACTCAATAAAATTTCTCCTCACACAAGAATCCAGGCTTTCTTCCAGAGACAGAAAAGCCCCTGACTATTAATTATTCGCGTCAATACGTACCTCAGATGCTGGTGAACAAGGAGTGGCAACAAAGACAAAAGAAATGACAAAGACAAATACCATTGAAGGATTCGTATTATCTGTTCAGTTTAATGCGTTCAACAAAGCACCTTTGTACAACTTAGTACACATAAAAATAATGACGGAAATTCTGATAACAATAACAACAAAAACAGCATTCATATCTAGCTGCTCTAAAATCTTCTTTTTAAAAACTAAAATAATTCCATTTAAGTGTACGATTAGATCTAGTCAAATGAAATTCAATCAAATTCTTCGCCTTTTCTTCACAGGCAAGAAATATCTTTGATTCCATATTATATATCGAACGAGATATAAAGTTTGAGAAGAACAAACTAACCAAGTGACAGATTTTTTAAAAGACAGTAGACACATTTCTCCTTATTCTTCTATTCAGTGTTTGTTAAATCTGGGAGCTTGGACAAGTACTAAAGATTGTCACATACTGAGATGCAAGTTCGAAGAGAACAGCCTTTTCCTGATGTTGAAGATTAAATTAAATAAATAAAATTCAACAACAAACAAACAGGGTCATTTCGAAAACACAGCATTCCATCTCTGGCGTTTCAAATCGAAAAGATTTAAAAAACTAGGGAAAAGCAGTATGCATTATTCATACAAGTGCATGTTGAGTAACAAAAATGTTTTCTCAAAACGTTACCTTTTTCAGCTGAACAAGATCAAGGAATAAAACGGTTAAAAAGCAAAAGAGAAAAGGAATGTTACGGCACTGTGGCATTTAGAATTCACTCATCATCGATATCACAGACACACACACATACACACAAACACACACATGCAAACATACACATACTCACATGTAAACACATTAACTTATATACACATTTCAAAAGACTCAAAATTTCCATCCATATTCAATACAAATGCTCAATACAGCAAGCTGAGGCATAAGAAAATATTATCTTTAAACAACATGGCAACAGAACTGAGTTTTACTCCCTTTTCAGCATATTATTAGACACTTGCAGCTTTGCACTAATTAGCTTATAAAAAATCCTTACATGACCCAATCTCATTCTGAATGTGAGGCTTCAAACCAAACCCCAGCTGATGGGGTTAGAAGCGTGTTCGCTTAATTTTACACAAAACACATTTAATACTACACACAACACAATTTAATACAACACAACACATTCGTCTCTTTCAGAGGTGAAGAGCATCAAATAAAACGATAGACCATGCATACGAACATAACAGAAGAGTTAGAAATGTCTCTCTCTCTCACTCACTCATTCATTCTCTCTCACTCACTCATTCTCTCTCTCCTTCTCTCTCGAACACACACATACACACACAAAACCTTATCACTCACTTGTATGACATACGTAATGTATTTCTATGTATCGGGGAGACTGTGCATAACATATTTTGTCATCTGTATCAATATACTTCGGGAACATTGTATGGCATTCGATACCATGTATTTATAGACTGTGCATGCCACACATAATATGTATTTATACGTATTGGGGGAAACAAAACACAGTGGCATTTATTCAGCTCAGAATAATATTGCACAAAACTGAACACTTCACGAGGACAGCAACAAAAAAGACACAAAGTCTGTAGAGACTGCCTCTTGCTACGGACACTTACTCTTAGCTCAATGAACCATGGCTAAGTTTAGCCTGCCCCGTCATTTTGGAATGATCTCAAAAACAAGAACTAGTAGTTACTCTATTGAGATACGTGCATATTATTTATATTATAAGACACAATCCATGGTTCTATAGTTGCGCCACTTATCTATTAATAGGTGCATAACAGCTACGCAATAGCTGTACTATTAATCTGTTGATAAGTATATTAAAGCTACACACTGGTTCTGTAGTTGAACTATTCATCTATTGTTATGAGCATAACTGTCACAAGCTAGTTCAATAGTAGCTCTATCAATCTATTGAAATGTGCACAAATACAACACACTGGTTCTATGGATGCACAATTAATCTATCAATAGGCGCAAAAAAGCTACACTGATTCTATAGTTGTAAAAGTAAAAGTAAAAGTCAAATTTTAAAATTTCCCAAAACTGGTTCTGAAAATGCTGGGGATCAGTGAGAAGCAGAGAGACTACATCCCCATACACTTCACAGTGAGGAGAGTCAATTGGGAAGACCAAAAAGATATAACTAGTAAACGGTACTAGTAATGTTTTACACTTACACTGACACGCTCAAAAACCATTATGATTAAGGAGCCAAGCTGCTTCTCATCTGCCCGTGAGAGCCAAAAACGAAAAGAGAGGGATACTAAGTAAGGGGACACAAAGACAGGAGATATGTGTGTGATAAAACAAAGACAGGAGATACATGCGACAAAACAAAATTCCAATGACGGAATCAGGTTTCATGTCTTTAGCCAGAAGGTCAAAGAGCCCAACTGTAAACAGCAGATGCTGCTAAGAGAAAAGGATGCTTCCCGGAAGTTTCAGTTTCAAGCTTAATTGGTCGAGTCTATCACATTGACAAACAGTTCCGTTTCTATGTACCAAACTTTGAGCTAATACATCAGCCCAAGTTATTGTATATTAGATCATTCACAGAGTCCATTCAACTCGATCAGACAAGTCAAATCAAACAAAAGTAGTTAAAATAAGTTACTGTACTCAGTAGATGATATATTAATTTAATATCACTAAATTATATTCCAGGGTTAAAAGCGTGTGAGTCTCAAGGGGAAATTTTCCGTGACCAAATGGTCGTCTGAAAACACGACCACAATGTTGATTTCAAAGTCTGGGGACAGAAATGGAAAAAAACAAAAAAACGTTAATTATTCAGGATAAAGAACAAGAGATTATATCATCAAATCATTTCTACAAAATTAACATTGAGTTTAGGCTTACAGTAGACAACAGTCATAGCACAAATTCTGGGCCCATCGATTAACCAATATGAGCCACATATTTGTGTGTCAACATCTGAGTCTGAATCTAAAACATCTTTACAGAAACATTTAATTAAATCATTTTGGAGTCATTAGACTAGATTCATGTTCAGTACAATGTTATGTAAATGACTATGTATCATTATGTATTTGTGATGCAGCGTGGAGGAATCAGGCTCTCGTAAATTTTTGTGCATGTAGAGTTATTGATATCATCTTAAATCTTGTTCACTTGTCTATATTTGAATGAAAAAATATCAATTTATCTTGAATACAAGTCGAGATATTTGCTAATGAAGGAGGTGGGGGGTCACCTGTTTTCAGAGGAAAAGTTAAGTGAGAAAATGGCCGCCAAAGACTAGTTATTTCCATAGCTTAAGAATCCGTGGTAACTGAAAATTTCCATTTTTTTAGCCTTTAATTAACGTTTTCCAGAAAAATCCACACAGAAATGAGTTCTTTAATGGGCATGAAAGGTGTTGAGTCAAAAAACAAAAATTTGATAAAAATTCACAAACCTGCAGAAAAATTCAAGTTTCTTCACTTTGATTATTTTGACGAGAGCCTGATTCCACCGCGCTGCCTCACATTTTGTTAACCAGAGAATAGCATTGTGTATATTATTTAATTATGCATTTTTGTATGTGCCCATTTCGTAACGATGTGTGAAGTGCATGTTTGATAAGCACATAAATGTGTGTGTGTGTGTGTGTGTGTGTGTGTGTGCGGGTGTCTGTGTGTGTGTGGATATCTGTGTGTGTGTGTGTGTGTGTGCGTGCGTGTGTGTGAATATTGTTCATACACATGCATTTACTCGAAGCGTCTAGAGCTGTGTTCACAGGCGAGTGGGTGCTATAAAAATGATCTACATTAATATTATTCATGAGGGTATCACAGATCTCGGTCAATCCGACAGTCCAGGTTCCCTCTGACTTTTCCAAATATTAATATTATTATTATTTTTATTATTATTATTATTATTATTACTAGTAAAAGTACCCGTTCTACGAACGGAATAACAATGAAGAAGTATTAGAAAATGTTAAGAAGAGGAAAAAGACTGAAAACAGGAAAGAAACAAAATATAAATATTTTACCTTGAATGTATCCCTGTAGCACCCCCTCTTGACTACCTCTAGGGGTAAGACTTCTTCCCCCTCTTCGAAGGCGTGGCATTTTCTACTTTTACTTTTTCTGTCCTCCTATACCCCAAGGTATCAAGGAGAAGTGTAATTGTTAGACATGGGTCAGGTGGGTTGTTTAACGAATCGTCACACTGTGCCTTTAAAGTGTTTCTTTGACTTCACTGATCCGTCATTTTCTTGGTGTTCCCTTCACCTTGAAGCCATCAAGTTGCATATTTTAGGCCTTTGAGGCTGGCTGCAACCCCATTCTCATGTGTCCAAACCACCTCACTGATCTCTACAATACACCCCTTTTACAGACCCAGAGATGTTCAAGGAGACCACAGACAAGGCCTTCAGACTCAATTAATCCTCCAAGCGCAAGCCGTTCAGCAACCAGCAACATCATCACAGCAACTAGCATGCATGAAAATGGACTCTGCAACTTTGAATTTTCGCTTAGAAAAGGTTTTACGGCACTTGCAACACAATAAAGTCACATAAGTGCCAAAGATATGAGGTGTTACTGGAGACTTACAAACAAAGAAAAGAATTAAGAGAGAAGGATGATAGATGTTTGACAGGGAAGAGGAAGCGAACCGCCACACCAGAGCACCCGCCAAACACCCACTCACCAACTTTAGTTTCAGTAAGAGTTTTACAGCACTTGCAAAACAACAAGGTCATGTAAGTGCCAAAGGTTTGCGGTGTTTCTGGAGAATTACAAACAAACAAAAAAACGAGGAGAGATAAGGACGATACATGTTTGGTAGGAAAGAGGTAGCAAACCACCACACCAGAGCACCCGCCACCCACCCACTCACCGACTTTGAAGTTGTTCGTAGACAGGGAAGGACAGGTGAACAGGCGTGGGAACACCATATGGATGGGTATGGCCGAGTTTCTGGTCACATCACCGTCTGCGATTTGTATGTTCTGAATTTCTGTCGCTGTTGAAGAGATGAGGCAACAGAACTTTTTTTCAATAAGATAAGAGAGGACATGATCCTATATATATATATATTTACTCTCATTAAAATTCAGTAAGAAGAGAAAAGTAAAGCTGACAATAATGTGAATCAAAGTCAACCTGCAACCCCGAGGTCAAAGAAAATTAATGATCTAATTTTCTCCTGAACATGCCCACATGCACAATTTGTTAGTTTGAGTAAAGACAAAATAACAACTATTGACTGCAAGGACAAAATCAAGGATGATGGAGAAAAGCAACAGTGGGAAAGTTAAGACATAGGACCTACCAGTGGCAACCTGCGACCAACCACTCACACATACATGCACACACACACATGCACACACACACATGCACACACACACACACACACACACACACAGCAGATGCAAACAAACATACATGCACACAGACACATATACACACAACACACACACACACACACAGACACATACCCACACACATATACACACAACACACACACACAGACACACACACACACACACACACATACACACAACATAACAAAGGAACTAAAAAAAAAAACCAACCCCACATCAAATAAAAATTATACCGAACTCAGATTGTAAAAAATAACAAACAAAATTCAAATCAGCTGAATATAATTTTGTTTTAATCTCTGGTAACACTAAGAATCACAGGTATGACCTCAATTCATTTCAGCTGATAAGCTTTCAGGTCAGTCAAAAATAGTTCTCTTGCTTACTCCTTATTTATTTATTCATTAAATGTGACCTTCTGAACTAACTAGTCCAGAGGATTTCTTCACATCAGAGTAGGTCAATGTCTAAACAAAAGGAACAGCAAGCAAGATCAACAACAGTAATTAATGATAAGGAAATTGAGAGCAACAATAAAACCTAACTTTACAAAATACAGTGGAGTCTGTTCAAACTGAAATAAGTGGGACCACAAGATTTGCTTTAGTTTAGCAGAGTTTTCAGTGTGAAGAAATTGCTTAAATTTTACAAATTGATAAAAGAAAAAATAATGTTATGTTCTGTCAGTTCACCGCTGTTTTCAGATTAAACGTGTCCAGTTTAAGCGGACTCCACTGTATACACAGCACTATACTGACTTTTTCTGTATACTGTAGAGGAAACAAAATGCAACTACATTTACATGTTTTTCTATATGTGTCACAACGCGATGGAATCAGACGCTCATCAATTTTTGGGCACATTGAGTCATTGGTATCATATTAAAGTTTGTTTATTTATCCTGCTTCACATCTTTTAAAACTCAAGATTATCATGCAAGAAAAAATTTCTCAGCATGCCTGTAAAGATTTTACAGGTATACAGTCCTGCTCTAACAATCACCTGTCCAAGACGATCACCTGAACCAATCACCACTTCCAAATTCCCCTTTCTATGTTTTCATGACAGTGTTCTGGACATCTTGTGTAAGACAACCACTCTTCGTTTTTGTTTTAGTGAGAGTTTTATGGCACTTGGAGCAGAAAAAGGTCATAGTTGTGCCGAAGAATAGATGTGTTACAAGAGAGTAACGTGCACAAAAAAGGAGGAGAGATAAGGACAATAGAAGTTTGATAGGAAAGAAGGAGCAAACCACACCAGAGCACCCGCCAACCACCCACCAATGGATTGTTGCCTTGAGCTGGTGGTACAATAGTAAAATTTTTACACATCAGTATATTCATTCTGTTTTCAGAGTCTTGGGGGGGGGGGGTCAGAAACAAGGTAGGCCTACTCAAGACATTTTTTTTTTAAAGTACAAGCAAGCGTTAAAACACAAGATCCCCTGCTTCAACATCTCGTAATACACGATAAATACCCCACACCCTCATCTCACGCTGATTTGAGCAAAGAAAAACACATCAACATAATAAGGGTCATTTAGTGCTGGGAAAAAGTAAGACAGACAGACAGCAAGACAGAAACAACAGAGGGAAAATAAAGAAGTAAAAGAAGTAGGACTTAACAATGGTGCCCTCCAACCACCCTCAGAAACCATTACTTGTCTACATTCATAACAGAGAGGCTAACTCACCATCTTTGGCGAATCCTTCAGCACAGCCACAGGTCTCCACTCGCACCAGCTGGATCTCGATGGACTTGATCAGGGCTTCGCAATGTTCTACTATCAGCTGAAAATGGGGTTTAGAATTAAAGTTTAAAAGTCAGTAGTATTAGTTTTAGTAAGGGTTTTACGATGCTCGCAGGAGAGAAATTCATGGATCTCAATGGACTTGATGAGGGCATTTTGTTTACGTGATTTTGCCATGTAAATTTGTTGTTGATTGTAAGACCAAGATATTTGTATAAATCCATGATTTCAATTGTTTCTTGTTCAATTACAAATGGTGGAATTGTTGGTTTTTCTCTTCTAAAATCAAAAATCATGTCAGTAGTTTTTTTTAGAGGTTTCCTTTTAGAAAATTTGAATTGCACCATTTAAAAAACATACAAATTTCTTCGAAATACTCTTTTCATCAAGGTCTATTATTGGATTAATAAACCTTGATGAAAGAATGTTGTACGGAGCGGGTGGTTTCAGCTCGTAAAACATTTACTAATGTCTTGTCTTGTTGTGCGTATGCATGAATGTAGCTAACCTATATATAACATCCACTGCCATTGTAAACAACTAAGACAAATTTCTCCCTGCGAGATGAATAGATTTTTCATGGTCATTGGCAGTGTTCTACTATCAGCTAAAAATGGGGTTTAGAATTAAAGCTTAAAGTTCAGGAGGGAAATTCATTTATTTATGCGTCCACTTCCATGTATCTCTTAGTCTTTAATGACCGTTGGGGCACCAAGGATGATCGGGCAACCACTTTTCGCCATCCTTATTTATTTTCAGCCTTTAGAAGGGCTTCACCCAACTTTAAACCTATATACGTAAAGGCCACTAAAATAAAACTGAACATAATTGGTTTCATTTCAGCCTCTTTCTACCCTAGCTTGATCATAACAAAGACACGACAGCTGAATTTTCTTCCTTTCAATACATTTCCCTGGAAATTTAAAATGTCAAAAGTTGAAAACAAATCAGTTTGAAAATTCACATGCCCCGAGTGCTGTTATTTTTCTCTTGTAATTTGAAGAAATATTAAAAGAACTAGAAAAGTATTCAAAATGGTATTTCAGATTAGGATGCCAGCACTGAGATTTGACCTCACTTTGATTAGAACCACAAATTAATATATAATCCTATCATTGTAACTCATAAACAGTGCCACAAGGAAAGGCATAGAATTTCCTCAACGCCAGCTTTTGCTGCGAGATGTACAATTTACAGAAGTAACGAGAAGCACACATGGACACGATATATTGATCATTTAGAGCAGGGAAACATCAATACAGACAGGTGGAAAAGAGCAGATAGAAAGAAAAAAAAAAGACCTACTTATGGAACACTTCAACCGGCTGTCAGAGATTCCAAGTCAGAAAAATGACAGCCGTATATCGTATATTGTTGGGGACTGACAAGGACAATAGAAAAATTTTTATAAAGGGAAAGAAAGAAGCAAAACCAGATCATCCCATAGCACCCAAGAACCATTACACCATTATAGAGGGAAGAAATGGCTACACATACTGCCAAGGAAAAAAAGCAAACTGGAATGAAGCATAGAACACTGCTCGGAAATCAACATACCTCTCCTGTTAAGGGTTTTGTGATCTGCAGGCAAGAAGAGTCAATGTGACCTTTGACCTTGAACTTGGGAACATTCTGTTTCTGAAACAGTATTGAGAAAAAAATTCCAACATAAAAGGATAAAACAAATCACCATCGAAAAAAAAATCGTAATAAAGCTTCAGCTCCTGTTACACCCCCCCCCTATTTTTTTAAAACAACCCTACCCCATTTCAAAAAAGGCTTTGGCAAATTTTTTTTAAGCCTTTTTGCTTATAATTACAAATACAATCAAATCATCATTTACTTACAAATGAGAAGAGTAAATTTTCACTGAATAGGCAAGCATGATATTTTTTAACCGTTTCCAATCACCATTAAATGAACTTTACATCTAGTGTGTAGTAAAAAGGAATGGGTTGGGGGGGGGGGGGGGGGGGGGGGGGGGAGGATAGCTGACAGTGACCATAAAAAGCCTCCACCATTTCACCATTCTAAAATGTGGATGGTATCAATCATAAACTGATGCTTTATTTCATAAAGCTCTACAGCTCAACAACATGATCAACATCGATCAACCTCTGCTCCTTTACTATAAGAAGGTATTTTTAAAATGGGGGGGGGGGGGGGGGGAATAAAAGGGGGGGGTGAACAAGTGGTCCAAAATTAATAAACGGGGGGAGGGCACATTCAACCTTATACCCCTGTACTAGTAGGAACAAATCTGTTTCATTACCTCTTCAGTGAATAAAAAGGACAAGAGACCATGAAATTTTAGTGATTTTAGTAAGTTCCTGTGACAACTTTTTTCCATTAAGGAACAAACCAGTTTCATTAAAAAATATAAACCAATGTACAAAAATTGTTTAAAAGGCACAAAAAATTGAAGTAGCCAACCCGGTACCGGTACTAATACTGAGGGTAAGTTGCCATTTACGAAAAAAAGAGAAGTTTCATTCAGATATCAAGATATAATGTTTCACACGATCGTCGGTCGTGGCCAGCAGGAAAATAATAAACGGGGGGTATGGAATAAGGAGTGGGGAGTGTGCAAAAACAATGACAATAAATAAATAAGCGGGCGGGAGGGGGGGGCTTATTCGATACCTTAGACTATGTCATTTCTCAGATAGTGTTTAATGTAATAACAATTTCAGTAAATACAAGCACATATGATATGTCCGAAACCTGCAAAACTAAGCTGAATAGATCCCTTGCAAATTTTTTTTTTCGAACGCCTTACTTCTTTTTTGTTTCAAAACCCCTACTAATTCTTTGACTTTGGCTCAAAACCCCATATTGATTCTTTGACCCAAAGCCTCTTACAAATTCTTTTGATTCAAACTCCTTACTAATTCTTTGATTTAAAAAAAGCAGCAATCAGAAATTACCTTACTAAGTTACATATAAACAGTCTTTATCTTACCTCCTTCACATTCGTCAATGTGTCTGGAGTGATGGTGAAGTTGACGGGTTTGTCTTTGGCTCTCTCCTCTTGAGTCTGAAGCAAACAGAGTGACAACATTCATAAACGTTTGTTTGATCTGGTACGAGTTTTACAGCACTCCCAACCGAAGGTCACATGAGCGCGCAGGACGCAAGCTGGTTTTTTTCAAGTTAGTTCACAGCATGGCTTGATTTATTTTTTACTTCGAGTTAAAAATTCGAGGTCAGAATTTCATAGTTAAAAACAGCCACATTTTTATTATAGCACTAGTTTGTCTGATTGAATAAGCTTATCAGGACGGCATATGGAATATGAAACAAAAGACTATAATGACACTATTCTTACAATGCTACAAAGCCTGACCTTCTACAAAACCATGAGCATAGAACCTACTTCCTTTCTCTTCTTTAAAAAAAAATTAAATATATATATATATCATAGCTGCCACTCAGGAATTTCAAAAAAGGAGGAAATTCACGCGAAGGCGTAAGCTCGTTCTCCGAAGGCCGGAGTAAAACCAGTGAGATCCAGAGGCAATATCTTGGAATCTAGCCCATGTTTTTGGAAGGGAAAAGTGTCATATTTATTAACCATAGGCTACTGAATTAAAATGTGTTTAAAAAAATATTAAAAAATAAAAACCAAGACATTAAGTTGACTAACAAGCATTTGACATAGTTTCGTGACCAAAAATCCAGTGTTTTTTGCCAGCTGGTGCCTCATAAAAAGATTTATTTCACTTTAAACTTGCGCATCGATGTAGAACAGTATTGGATCAAGGAGGCAACGCCTTTGCCACTGTACTGAGGGATTTCTTTGTCACACCAAACCCAAAGTGCAGCAAGCAGCTTGCTCAATTTTCTAATGAACTTTTCAAGACGCACACCGTCTGCTTCTTTCTCATTCCACCTCCTTTTATTTTTGCATTCTGTATCAATTTAATTTTCTCTCAAATTTCCGCCCTTTTTAATGACAACTCAGCGCACCATTGTCCCGATACTCGATCGACACGGTTGCTCAACAATAAACAATGTGAATCTAGTGCTACAGGAGAACGGAAGTAGAAAGCTACTGGTGGACATGCGCAAGCTGCGTTTTCGTCTCTCTCCCGGTTCGATGTTTTCCGTGTGTAAAAAAAAAAAAAGAATCGCAATTTGCGACCGAGAGCGGTCTAGCAGAAGAAGGAGGAAAGTAGCAGGAAAAGCCTGGCAGCTATGATATATAGATGTGTTTTTCACCCCCATCGACAGTTTAGATCATTCAGTAGACAGGCTTCCGACCCTGCCTGCCTGGGGCAACCCGAGCTGAGAGGGATACAATATTCCAGCAAAAGCAGTAAAAATTTTCTCCCGACTCAAGAATCAAACTCAAGTATCCTGCATGTGACAAGAAAGTGCCTAACCGCTTCGGCACAGACGCAGGTTTCCTTTCTCCTTTGTGTGACCTCCCGAGAAGATTTCAGCAAAACTACTACTGGCATATCTGCATCATCTCTCTTCCATAATTAAATCTCTTGTCCCTACTTCAGTAGATAACAAAAAATTTATAAACCTACAGTAAATAATCAAAATTCACTTCCCTTTACATGCATTACCTCAAACTGCCTGTCCGTTATTTATTCATTGGTTATCTGAATGGCTTACCTTGTATTCTATGATGAACTCCGTCTGTTTCTGCAAATCCTTGTTGAGCAGTGACCTCTTCATTTCCACTCGAACCAGATACTGAAAGGACAGACATTTAAAGATTCATAACAATTGTCAAAGGAAAACATTAACAGCTCACTCTCCTATTGTTCTCTCGTATTTAGAAGAGAAATACATATATGACTGCTGAAAAATGTGCAAGATCTTTTAATATCAGCATGGTACAGACATAAATTAAAAACAATCACAGCAGTACAATGTACCATGCAGAAGTCTCCACCTCCATACGGAAGTCTATGGCGTACCTAGATGACAGGTCAATAAATGTAATATTATACTGCAGATACCATGACAATGTAATTTCAGATTAAGTATACCTGTATGTTGACAAACACTCCATGGTATGTCTCGTAGAGAGTTTTCCCTGGTTTGGGCTTGAGCGGCACTTCAAAAGGAATCTCTGTCTTTCCTGAAGGAAGCCGGCCAGGTTTTGCAACCTCAAGTGTATACATAAGCACTTGGATCGGCTGGATGCAAAATATAAATAATTATTTTCAAAATATTATAATTTCCCACAGAATTAATGCAGTGTTATGGACAGGTTCATCTCATGGAAAAATCACCCATATCTATCCAGAAAACGACTGTGTACTTAATCCTAATGGCATAAGGAAGGCTTAATAAAACTATTGAAACCATCCTGGGACAGTTGATCTTCAAGCAAAATCAAAACAATGTCAACTTAAGAAAGTGAGACAGCTATCAGTACATCAGCAAAAAATCTGCTGAGTGAAAGGAGCAGACAGGTACCTCATAGTAATTGAAATAATCTACGAGGGACGTCCAGAAAGTAAGTACCGTTTTAAAATAATTATAAAAGAAATAATTTTCCCAATCAAAACGAATTATTTTTTTATACCCCATATTAGCTGACATCGACATTAGCTGACATCGCAGGCAGCAGCTTTCTACAATGTGGGCATTTAGAATCTCGTCCCACGCTATGACAAATGTCTCAACAGTTCTGGTGGCTACGTGGAGAAGTAATGTCGAGTCTCTCCTGTGAGATCAGCATCTGAGTCGAAGTCCTGCCAGACCAAAAACTTTTTCAAATGCAGGAACAGATGAAAGTCACTCAGAGCCAGGTCTCGGCTGTACGATGGGTGCTTCAACTGTTTCCATCTGAAGGAGGCGATCAGGTATTGGGTCTGTGCAGACTTGTGAGGAGTTGCATAGTTGTGAAGCAGAACAACGCCGTCATTCGGCGTCTTTTGTTTTGAATCGCTCTTCGCAGCCTTTTAAGTGTGTTGCAGTACACATCAGAGTTAAATGCCATCCCATTTCCAAAAAATTCTACTAAAAGAACTCCTTGCCTGTCATAAAACACTGTACACATTACTTTTTTTCCTGACACTGCCTGCTTGAAATTTTTTGGCTGGGGCGAATCCGTATGCTTCCACTGCATCGACTGCTGCTTTGACTCGGGTGTGGAGTGGGGCAACCAGGTCTCATTCCCCGTCACAATATGAGTAAGAAAGTCATCTCTTTCGTCATTGTAACGTGTCAGGAATGTCAATGCGCTGGCAGCCCGTTGATCCTTTTGCGCTTGTGTCAGCTGCTTGGGTACCCAGCGAGAGCACACCTTTCGATAACCCAAATAGTCAGTGACGATTTCTTGAAGAAGCGACCTTGAAATCTCAGGAAAGTTTGAAGAGAGTAAGGAAAGGATAAAACGCCTGTCTTCCTTTACCTTTAGGTCAACTTTGCTTATCAAATCATCACTGACCAAAGATGGACGCCCACTCCTGTGTTCATTATGCACATTTTCTCGTCCCTCTTTGAACATGCGAACCCATTATGATTTCCGCACCATGCTTTCGCCCATTGCATTTTCACCATACACTTCAGAAATCTGCCTATGAATATCGCTAGGCTTCGTGTTCTTTGCTGTCAGAAAACGAATAACAGACCGAATTTCACTGTCAGCATAATTTGCAATCTTGGAAGACACATTGAAGTTTCAAAAGGGCGTAGGATGTTTGATACAAAATGTGGCTGTGTAAACTGGCGCGGAAAAAACTGGGTGAGATGTTTTACAAGCTTTGTAGATTGTTTACAACAGCAAGATGGAAGCTGAGGGCTCTTTCCGGTTCAGTATTGAACACATCAACTCACTGTGGTGCAAAATCGGAAATATCCTAGCCCAGTTCAGAGAGATGTGAAAAAGGTAGTTACTTTCTTGACATCCCTCGAATATCGTACAATAAATACAGTCAAAATTGTCCCAGGGGGCCACCTTTTGTCTGTCGAGGAGTATAGTGGTAGTCTTAGACAGATGGGCGTCTTGGACAGTGCTAATAAAATGTAGAAAATACACAAAGAGGGAGGTAGGAAGTGGTCATTTGTGCAAGTGATTGTCTTGGACAGGTGGCCTTTAGAGCAGGTTCGACTGTACAAACATCATATATGAGTACTGACAAGCCTCGAAGTCTTGCTTTTTATGGCACTTGCAACACAATAAGGTTATTACATAAGTGCGGAAGATTTAGAGCTGTTACAAGAGAGCAACAAACATAAAAAAGAAGGAGAGATAAGGATTATAGTAGATGTTTGATAGGAAAGAAGAAGCAAACCACACAAAAGCACCTGCCAACTATGCACGGCCTCAAATTAAGTTCCCTTCTCTGTTATTTAATTTTCCTATGACCACTCAAATATGTTCTAAAAGGTTGTATGTGTGGTCAACCCTTCTACACAGCTGTGAATCTAACACTTGTTGATGATGATGATGATGATGATGATGATGATGATGATGATGATGATGATGATGATGATGATGATGATGATGAGCTTACCTTGAGAGAGTTGTAAAAAGCTTCAAAAAGGCCAACACTCTTAGCACTCAGCTGTAGGTTGACCATGCCTTCCATGGTCAGGGTGATGCCTTGGTGCTGCAGGTCTCCCTTGCTCTGCACCACCACAACACCCGCTATAACATCCTGAGGGCATATAAACACAGGATTAGCAACTGACTTTTCTACAACGTAATAAAAAGGCTGCACCTCGAAGAGAAGACCATGCATTCAAACCATGAACTAAAAGAAAGTTTTACTTTAAAGAGTGACAATATTAATTACAGTTACAGTACAGTCAAACCTGTGTAAGACGGCCACCCATTGTCAAGGAGAAAAGTGGCCGTATAAGACAGGAGGCCGTCTAAGGCAGGACTGATCAAGATGAAGAAAACAAACCATTCCCATCTGAGGTCCCAATCGAAAGAAACTGAATTGTTGTTGTTGTTGTTGGTTTGTATTTTGTTTGTAATTTTTATTTTGTTGCTGATTTTACACAAAGGTGACAATAAAACGAAATGTATCAGACGAGGAAGACCGAGTGCCATGTTAAAACAAACACATGGGTGCCACCACTCGGAGAATGAGCGACGCTTCAGTCACAAGTTTATGTTGACATCCTTTGTTACTTTGTTACAGACTGGGTAAACAGTGACCACTCATCTCACTTACGATAATTTGTGTATGAGTCCTGGGCGGGGCTTATGGGTTATGAAGGATCACACGCTTACCTCACCAACAGCTGAAAATTGTTACCTTTTTATTGGTCAACAGTGGGAGGGGCCAACACAGCATGATCGGTTGGAGGGACTACCTAACAACAACGACAGGTGATTGAATTATGACGGCTCGCCCACAACGCCAGGGGCCATTGCACAATTTATAACAAAACATAATGAAGTCACCAAGGTGGCCGTCTAAGACAGGTGTTATTGTTTAGTGTGATAGTGGTTGTGTGTTAAAATATGGTGGCCGCGGCCGCGTTGGACAGGTGCCGGTTTTACACAGTTAAATTATATAGAAAAAACGCAAGGGGGAAATGGAAAGTGGCCGTTTGTACAGGTGGCCGTCTTATAGAGGTGGCCGTCAGGGCAGGTTTGACTGTATTTGTATAACACATATATAATATATCCCCACTCTACAAAAGGCTCTGACAGAAAGATTCCTGGCTTCCCGGGACTCACAGTGCAAGCGGCTAATTAAACACTCAAACAATAACAAACTTAACTCTTTAAACCCCATCGGATGCAGGTAGCGTTCGGCGGTAATAACCCTGTTCCGCATTGGATGCTCAGTGACAACTGTTTTGTTTCATTTAGTGCTAGTTTTTGCTTGTTTTTCGTAACTATTCCCAAACCAAGTTTATTATTAATAACTAAGCTTTTGTTTCTGCCATTTAGAAGTTAGAGGCAAACTTTTGGGGTTATAATGGGTTATAGTGCGCCAGGTTTACGTGACCACAGGAAAAAACTCCAGGAAACGGTGGAAATAACTCAGGGTCTAAAGAATTAAAAGATCTTTCACTGTCTATCTATTGTCTTCCCATTCTGACCTTGGTGAACTTTGCCAGTATCAGTTAAGAAGTTAGCATTTTTGTCTACGTTTGAAACAATATAACTTCTTCCCCATTCCACACAGCAAACCATTACGCGGATGTACTAAAAGCTCAATGTCTTGAGATTTATTCTGCGTTTGAATGGTAAATTTCTGTGCCTTAGTTTTTGTTCTAGACAAATGTTTGTAGAGCACGCAATTTGTCCTATTTTAGTTACATACTTATGAATAAATTATTGTTTTAAATTTTAAAACGGCAAGATAGATCTCTCCTAAATCTGTGTTAAACTGACTATGAACATCATGTCTTTTTCCATGAGAAATCTTAAATCTGCGCGAGTTGTACATGTAATAGTCAAGTTATAAGAGAAGAAAGATGAACATCTGCATTTTTAAACTAAAGACACTCAGCATTAGCTCTTGTTCTACCATTAAACAAGAGGAAGTTACTCTGTGTTTGTTCGTGAATCATGCTGTGTCTGTGGAAACCTGCATACACAACAAAGGAAGATATATATATGCGATTTTTTTTAAACACAAAACTGTGTTATGCACTTTTTGTATGGAATAGAAATGGAAGAGGCTAGCCGTACTTAATGACGGCTAGACTGCCATACGGCAAGACTGGTTGGCTAGCCGTACTTAATATGATGGCTAGACTGACCAAAACAAAAAAAATAGGCCTACTGAATTGTAAATAAATTTTAAGTTTGCAGTACCTAAAGTATTTGTACGAAACCAGGTGCCTTGATGACAGAGCATGTATTTTAAACCTGAATAATTACTTATTAAATGAGACCTAAGATAAGTACGGCTAGCCTGGCAGTCTAGAAGTATGGCTAGACTACTTGGCTAGCCGTACTTAAGTACGGCTAGACTGCTAGGCTAGCTGTACTTTTGGACGGCTAGACAATCAGGCTAACCGTACTTATTATTGATGGCTGAATTGTAAATGAAATTTTTAGTTTGCAATGCCTGAAGTATTTGTATTTCAGACAAAACCAAAAGGTGACTTACTGACTTGCATGTATTTTAAACCTGAATAATTACTAAATCTAGATCTAATGAGACCTGTGTACTCAACAGGTTTGAGTCGATAGGGCCAAACTTAAGTATGGCTAGACTCTCAGGCTAGCCACTTCGAATAAAAATTTAGCAATGCCCACCGATCGCGTTTTGTTCTGCTGATTTTCGGCCCCCCGCTGGGACGCACTAACGCAAAGGTTGTGGTCTTCAACTTGCTCTCACGCCGCTTCTCGTACATGGATATGAATGAAACTTGGCAGCCAATGAGAAAAGAGGTCAATCTCGTAGTATGCAGTTTGACAACTCTGTACCCATCCAAGAAGCAGTTGAAAACGTTTGCGAAAGTGATTGATGTGGTGCGCTTTGAAGATTTTTCGGAGCTGTGATTTGTCAAACTGACTGATACGTTGTACACCATTTTTCTTTATTCCCTTAAAATTTCATGCTTCTGTGTTTAGCGGTTTTTGCGTAATCTTCAAAAATGTGGGAGTAACTAAGGGAAAAAGCGACATTGCCATTTGCGCATGCTGGGTGAACGACCGCGGCTGGGAAATTTCCACTGAGTGACGTCATCAGCCATCGGTCGCCTCGGGCGCTACAAACGAGGCCCCGCTTATATGTGAACCGGAAAGGGGGAGGAGGATACTTGAATACTAAACGGGGGCCTTGATAATTTGCATTTTTGTTGCATTTTAGTCACAACACAATAGATGTAGTCATTTTAATTGCTTGATTGCATGATAGAAGAATAGAAACAGAAAAGCAAACATCTTGAGAAGTGGTATGACATTGTGTTTGCATTATGAAAGCCTATGGCGGAAAACACAGCAGAGGGCAAAATGGCACTTTCTGTATTCTGAACAACTTTTCTCAGAAATGGGATAACTGTGTGTGTGTATCTTTAGTTGATATCGTAGAGTGAAGTTTCGAGAAGCTGAGACAGCAACATTTTTGTGAGTTTTTACATTTTGTGAAAGTTGTGGTTTTGTGAAGTTCCTAGACCCATGGAATGACGACAGACAATGTTTACTTGAGAACAGAACACGTGGTGAGAAGGGTAAGTCTAATTTATTTTTTTCATAATTTTTAATGATAATTTTGCTAAGAATTTGTTCTAGAATGATAATAGTATGATTTGGCATAAAAACATGAAATTAATCACGATTTTCTAAAAAATATTTTTTTAAATCCTAATTGCCTGCATTGTCGGCATGTGTCTGTCGCTTTTTCCCGTAATTCTAAATTTGTTGGTTTTAGCATATTTTTTGTTTTAGTTGCTATTAAACATGTTTTGACAATGTTTTAATCATAACTGTGTTAATTTGTATTGAAAAAAACAAGAAAAATTGATTTTTTAAAGATTTACGGCTATTCATTCACGATTATCTGGGTGTTTGTCGCTCGTATTCTACCGGGTGAACAAACTGGAATTTGCATTCACGGCACAACGATCTCACAGTAATTGTCCAAAACGAAGTTTTTATACAGTTCTAGGCCATAGTTTCATCACTTCCCTTCATTTTCTAATATTTATTGTTAAATTAAGTCTAGACACAACAGAAAGATGTTTCTTTAGGAGACTGCTGTTTCATGTTATGAGGAAAAGAAATCAAATAAGGTTGTGCAGAATGCGAGAAAGAAGGCCTACAAGGGACTCACTAATAAATACAATAAGAAAGAGACAAATGTAGGTGTGATACATTCAATTGACATTTTAAAAAAGCCTAGAACATCTACTACTTACTGAAAAAATAGAGGCCAAAAGAGACAAGGGTGGACATATTCTGCCATGGTTAGTAAACGGCTAAAATTGTTAGTTCCGATTGAAATTTAACAAATCAGATCATAATATTTATTACAAATAATTGCTGTTTTTCCCAACTAAGTTCTTTATTTCTCAATGTGTGTTATTTGATTTTTTCCAGTAGGTTAAGGTTAAAATGCTCAAGGAGGATGACTTCAGTGTGAGATTTATGGAAAAGAGCAGCCCCAGCGACGTCTTTTCCAAGAGCAACGTTTTTGGTCTAATCACAAATAAGGGATCACCAGACTTCTTCACCTGGACATATGATAAAAGGACTAACAAGAGGCATTAGATCTCAAAGCCATTATTTTCATTTTTCCATTTTTTTTCTCATGTCCACTCATTAATTGGTGTAATAAATATATTTGTGTAAACTGTGCATTGGTCGGC